TAACATACACAATGTAAGACACATGCTACAATTAAAGCGCGTTTTGTCGCTTGTACAATTACGGTATATTCGTCACCAAATTAATTGTCACTAAGTGCAGTACATAAATTAAAAATCTCCAACAAAGTCTAACTCACCGGGATATATATAAACTCACACACATGCTTACATATATACACTCACACGTCCATACATAGGAGCACATCTAAATTTGTCATACCTAATAGAATTCGCAGTTGAATAATAAGCATCGCTCGAATGCTTGAAATAAATGCTATGTACTTTATAAAGAGCCAGAGAAGGAACTAAAATTGTTGTAATTTGCGAAAAAGCGAAAATTTCTGTAAAAAAAGAAGCTAAATAAATTTCTACGAGTAGTAGTTAAAAATGATTGAAATAAAAGCTGGTGTGTTCGTATATAGAATTCTAGCGGCGGCGAAATTTAAGGACAATACTAAATACGCAAATGTTTCATTCTAAAAAAAAAACGCAGCAGCTGGCGCGTGCAACAAATTCCGCTATGTCACGGAGCGTTTGAATAATACATACGCTCGATAATGGAACTAATTTTTGTGCTGACTTAGATAATTTTGCTACAAAGCTACAGCAAATTTAGTTAAGCTTAACCGGAAGATGACACTTTCACCGATGAGTAATCAATGCGCAGTTATAAGCGATTTGAATAACTTTGCACAAAGTGGCGTTACTTCATCGAAAAAGCACACACATCACACTTTAATTTATGACACCTAATTACGATTGAAAAAGTTTATTAAAAGACCTTTGTGAAAAGAAGAGAGTAGCTTCACAGAGATTCCCCAGGCTTGGGAAGAAAAACGGCAACAAAGAATATACCAGCTGAGCTCAGAGTGCTCAGAACGATCTTTAATGGTTTACCCAGATAAACCTTGTTCGTTAGGCCATTTAAGAGGACTTCTAAAATCGTATTTGTGATTTAACAAACGTTTGGAAAATATTTACTTCGACGCCCTACAGCAATATTTTTCTTCGCCTAATATCGAAAGTAATATCATATACCTATTTTCGTCATATTTATTCATTGTTACGGGAAGAAAGTATTCAATCAATGAGATGAGATATGAGATACGATAAGAATTGATGATGAGGAAATTATCTGTTGCCTTGACAGTTGGGTCTAGGTATTGTCTACTCTTTGGTGAGAATGCTTTCTGCTGTTATGGAAAGGTAAAAGCTGATGAGCAATCTTCACAAAAGTTGTTGACTCTTGACAGACCTAAGAGTAATAATATTGAAAAGGCAGTAAATTATATAAGCTTAGCTTTACAAGTTAATCAATGGTCCGAACTAGCTTTAAGTCAATTAGGCCTGGTAATTATAAAATAAACACGCATATTTTTATGAGTTTTTTTTTATATTTTTAAGGGGCATTTTATTTAACAAATACAAAAAGTATGCATTTACAGTAACTCATACACTTTAATAATCAGCGCTTGATTTTGAAAAAATGCCTTGTTCCCGTAGCTTATACCGAAAAGAACCTCCCAAAAATGGAGTCTGGCGGTGAGGAAGAATTTCTGCTTAAAGTTATATAAAATCCAAGAATTCAAAAAAAAAATTCTTACTAGAGATGAATATAGGTAATGAGCGAAGGGCTAGTTAAAATAAACTAGTACCATAGAAAATTTTTATTTTTGACAAAATGACGGCTTCCTAAAATAAAAATCGATTTTTGTAAAAACATTTAAACAGAGTGGCTTAAAAAATCGAAATTATTAACAAAAACCTTATTTCTTCGATAATTAGCTGCCAAATATATTTAAGAAGGTCGTGCGAAAATTTCAAGTCGACCGGACATATTTTGCTTGCCAGCTCGGGAAACAGCGTTCGAAAAAACAATATTAAAATTTTGGTAGCCGATTGCACTAAGTAAAACTATTAGGCACATCAACCTCAATTTTTCGGAGAATATTCTCAAATATATGTACTTGTACTGCAAAAGAAAAATCGATAAAAGGATATAATCGCTTGCTGGACGTAAAAGAGAAAATGCAGTGCTTTGTTTTCAAATTATATAGAAGCTAGTAAAAATTATTACTATCAAAAAATTTTATCTTAGTTTAAACAAGATTAAATAACAACTTTTAATAAACTGAAATATAAAAAAAACCACAAGCTTGAAAAATTAAATGTTCAATGAAGTAATAGCTTACCAAATTAAATGCGAATTAGTAACACTTCAAGGTTTCGACCAATTAAATGTAATATTACACAAAATTAGTCGTCTTCAATTTGCGACTGCTCTGCTCACTACGTTTGAGCTTGGCTCTCTTTACAAACAAAAATTTATGTGTAGAAGCATTTGTTATTGTTATACATATATTCAATAAAAGAGAAAAAGAGAGATGCTGGTAGCTCACTAAGATGGTAAAAAAAAATGTACTATTAAATCTCTAATCGATTATACCAGTCAATTACACCAGTTTTTTGTTCGATTTGTTACTTTGCAAGGTCTGGCAAATTGAAAGCAGCTATTATAGATTCATGATTAAATATGTATATGTATATAGAAATATCTGTTAATTTAATATTGTACACACTACTTCAACAAATTAGCTTTTCTTATATTGTTTTTTTATGGTAATTTTATCGCCTTGAATTTTTTAGCACCCCAAAAAACAAACATACTTGTAAGTGTAGTCAAACAGCTGTAAATAAACATATGCAACGGCACTCGTTTCTCCATACCTACATACTTATAATATATATTTATATATATGTATATGTGTGTATACAACACACATGTTATTCACTCATATATAACATAGATACGCACAACGGTTAAACCAAAAACTATCCTTCACGGTTAAATCTAAAAATAACAAAAAATATTCAGGCTTTAACAGCCAACCGCGAATGCTTTCAGGTCTGCGTTTGTGTGTGTGTGTAGTTTTGGTGTGCAGCTTACAGCGTGCATGCTTACATTTACATGCAACATACGATCGTTTATGGAAAATCATAAACAAGTAGTGAGTTATGAGCCGTTAAAGGTTAGCTTTTAGGCATCAAAATTGAAAAGTGCTGCTCTTTTGGTTTTTAATTTTTTATTTCAATATTTTTTTTGCTTTTTTTTCTTTACACTCCCGATGTGTTGTTTACACGAGTGATAAAAGGTGTACATGTGCAGTTGTTTATTTATATTACAAGTATATATGCATAACTTAAGTGCAATGACTTTTGTTGTTTTTTCACAGAGCACGGTTGCATACGTAAAGTTAAAAATTGCAACATGTTCTTAAATAAAACAAAAATATATTTTTTTCGTGTTTATTTATTTCGATTAACAATCGCACTGGAAATATAATATTTTGAAATTTTGTTTTATTTGCGAAAATGTTTCCTTTTAATATTCGGTTTTGAAATGCATGTTATTTTTTTTATTATTCTTCGTTTTAGTTTTTCAGTTAATTTTTTTTATAATTTTTTATACATATATTATATATGATATTTTAGTTACTTTTCTTTGAACTCATTCTTAATCAATTTTTTATTAAATTTTATTTTATTTTATTGTTTTTCATTTGTTTCTTTATAAAGTATTACTACATATGTATAAATGATCAGCATGACGAGCTGAGTCAATTTAGCCGTGGTCATATGTCTGTCAGTCCGTCAGTATATACGCAAACTAGTCTCTCAGATTTTTAGATATCGATCTGAAATTTGGCACACGAGGTTTTCTCTCCAATAAGCTGCTCATTTTTTGGAACCGCCCATATCGGAACACTATAGGATATAGCTTTCATACAAACTGATCGACCAAAATCAAGTTCTTGTATGGAAAACCTTTTCATTTGGCGAAACTTCTTCACGATATTTTGCACGGATTATTGTCCAACGATCGCTATAATCTCCGAATAACATTTATAACATACTAACCGATCTGTCGAAATCGAGATCTTCATAAAAGTTCTTTTTACTTAATGAGTAACTTGAAATCAAAATTAAGGTTGTTGTGGTTTTCCATCAAATTCAAATCGTTGGCAATTTATTTTTTCACATTTGCTTATACATAGTTGCTATAAGAAATTCACCTTCGTCGAAGTTAAAGATTTTTCTTGTTTTATTTTATTTTCATTCTAATTTTTTTAATTTAATTTATTTCATGTATTTTTTAATATTTTTTTAAGTTACTTAATTTTAATTATATAATTTAATTTATTTTAATTTTATTTTATTGAATTTATTTTAATTTTATTTAATTAATTTTATTTTATTTTATTTTTATTTATTTTAATTTATTTTTAAGTTACTTAATTTTATTTATTTTTCATTTATTTTATTTTACTTACTTATTTTTTTGTGTATACAAAGCTCTTTCCCAGCTTCACATTTCAATATCAACAAATTATTTTGAAGAAAACATTCAACAGGTGGCTGCGCACTAAGCTGTTTACAGTTTTCCCTTTAGTTTCCTTCTCAGCGAGATCACAACAAACCATTTTTTATGCAATCTTCCACTACTACGCACTCACAAGCACACATATGGTACATACACACATATAAAATTGCACATACACAGAAACGTGCAAGCTTATTGGTGAATTAGCGCAAATTATTTTTAAGTAGCCAACAACAACTACAGCACAACACAATTCTGACGCTGCAACTAAGCGCTTTACAATGCCCGCTCACAGCATTAGCAACAACAACAATACACAACATACAGAAGCTAAAAGAAAAAAGGAGAAAAAGCAAAACCGAAAAAAACCAAACACACACCAACTAGCAAATAAAATCCGATTAAAGATTTTATTATAGTACAATAGAATTTCAAATTTCCAAGCGCACATCAAATAAGCGTATAAGCAACAACAAAAAATGCAGTGATATAAAATAAATTGTTGTATTTAGAATTAGGTTTTGTTGCTGTAGCGAATGATTTAGTTTAATTTCAGCTAATTGCTGCTGGCATTTCAAATACTTAGTTAAAAATTGTGAGCTAATAAAAAACGGATTACCTTTTATGGTGGACAGCAGGAAACTCACACAATTCGCAAACACGGCAACGCTGGCGAAAAACTGGCAAAATGTTTGCACTCAAAATTAAATAGTTGCACGGATTTAGTAGTCTTATGTTATTAGCGGTGTTTAATCGTAACTGTAAATGCAAATGTTTGTGTAATAATTGTCCTTAAGCGGCAAATAAAAGTTTATTGTTTTTTTTTGTTGTAAATTTACCGCAATAATTGTGATCTCTAGTTTTCATAGTTGTAGAAAACTGTTCATATTTTATTTTTTTTGTTAATTTTATTGTACTAAAACATGTTTCTGGAAAATATGGAGTTTATTTATGAAATATGCTATTACTTGTTGTTGTGTCGTATTTTTTTATTTATTTTTGTATTTGTTAAATTTTTAAAAAGTATTTTGTGTATTTCTCTTGATTTATTTTTCGTACAACATAAATATATTTTTATCAAAAAGTTTATATATATGATATGGATATGCTCACAATTAAATAAAAAATATGGTTTATTTTATTTTTAACTCAATTTTGATAATTTTTAATATTAACACAAAAAATGTTTAGTCAAAATTTTAAAATAAAAAATATTAAAACTTTTCAACTTTTTAACTAAGTTTATACTTTTTCACTATTTTCGACTATTTTATGTAAATATAACAATAGTATTTACTACTTCATTATATTCTGAAATATTTTTTTTACGTAAAGCAAATTTCTTATAAATAGTTGCGAAATAAGAAAAAAAATCTGTTAATTAAATTTTTATTGAAAAGAGTTCGAAAAATATTTAATTTATTTAAATAAAATTAATCTATTATTATACTTTTTATTAATATCTCGAATCTTTCTTTAATTATCTCGAATAATAAATTAAAAGAAATAATATATTTAAATGAAAAAAATTTCAAATTCTTTTTTTTTTTGGTATTTGTTTTTATTTTTTTTTTTACGTTTTTATTTAAAATATTTTGAGTTTGGGATTTTTGCATATACTTTTTTATTTAGACGATATAGATTATTAAATTAATTATATTTTTATTTTATTTTTTATTTTGAATTTTTATTTTATTATTTTGAATTTTTATATACTGTATTTTATAATTTTTTTTTAGTTTTGAAAACTTTTTATTATAATTTTGATTAACTTAATTATTAATATTTTTAAAATTGTTTTTTATATAATATTTTAGTTATTATTAATTTTAAAAAAATAATTTTTATTTACCTGCCTTAAATGCCTGAAAATACTTGATGTTTTCATCATTTTATTTTTTATATTATTATACTTATTAAACTAATTTTAAACATTTTAACTAGTTATGCGATAAAATAAGTAATTAGTTATTCGAGTCATAGATTTTTTTGAAATTTGAAAAATTTATTTATTATATTATTAATTTAATTAACTTTAAAAATTTAGTTTTTATTTACCAATGTTTTGGCAACATTTCTTACATAAAAATACTTAGAATTTTTAAAATTTTATATTTGATAATATTTTAGTTATGTAATTAATTTAATTAATTTTAAAAATTTCTATTTTTATTTATTAATGTTTTGGAATTTCTAGCCTGAAAACACTTGGAGTTTTGATCTTTTTACGTTTTATATTATTATAATTATTCAATTAATTTAAATAATTTTAATTAGTTATTTAGTAATTAAAATATTTCTTTTTTAATTTACATTTGCTATATACTTTGTTTTATTATAGATTTTTTAGGGTTTTAAAAACTTTATTTTTTTAATTATTTGAATTAATTTTGTTATTTGTAATTTATTTTAATTATTCAATTAAGTTAATTTAATTTACGGATATTGATATCATCGATTTTTAAAGGTGACGAAATGTAAGACTTAATGTCCTCCACCAAGGTTTAGTTTGATAACTTTAATTCATTAATTTAAATAATTTTAAACCTTAAATTTTTATTTACTAATATTTTGCCAACAGTAAGTTTTTTTCTTTTTTTCGAAAAATATCGCATCTTTTTTTATTAAAAAATTATGGGTTTTTGTTCAATTAATAATTTAATATATTTTATTTTTAATTTTGGTTTACTTAGTAGAGGGGTATTTTCTCTTTATAAATTGATTGATTTCAATAAAAAATTAATTTAATTTCAAAATAAGTGCTGTATTTTTTTTTAAGATATATTTTTCAAAACTGCTTAGAATCCACTACAACCAGTAATAACATTCTAACTTAAAAAGTTCTACAACACTCATACGCTCCTGTGTCCCGCCAACCGACAGGAGAGCACTCATACGCAGGCGCGTACCAGTTTAAACCGTAAACGTTAATTTCCGCACAAATATGCAACACTTTTCACATGTCCCACATAGTTTGCAAATATTTAAGCGTTTCAATACTGTTTTCTAATTAATTATACGCGAAAAAAATTTTTGAATGCTTTTTCGGCCTACACAAGCGGCACCAAATGCAACTGCGTATGCAACGAAAGAGCTCAAAAACAATTTCTAGTTATTTCACCTTCAATTCGCAGACAATTTATTCGCCTTTACTTTGATTGCTTTCATTTACTACAGTTACTTTGCCACTTATACGCATGTTATTCGACTTTTCGCTTATTTGGATATTTTAGAAATTTGTCGTTGGTGCTCTCACCTAACGTTCGTTACCACTGCGCACCACACTGTGCTACTAGTTTGCCTTATTTTTTTTCGTTTGTTAATGTTTACTTATGCCAACTTTTTTTTTTGGAATTACTTTTGTTTTTTTGCAACTTTTTGAAAATTCAATCTCACTACTTCTTCACATTCGGCAGCGTATTTCGAAAGTAACGAACCAGCGGCGGCGACTTGAGCGCAGCGACTGAAATTTGAATTTTGCGTTTCGAGTTGATGAAGTCGCGCGCGCACACACGCTAAGTCGCTTCGCGTCGCGTCTCGACGCTTTGAGGCGAATCAAGCCCAACGAAGCCAAAGCTAAACCAAGTTCAACGGCAACGGTGACAGCAACGGTGCCGCAGCACACACATACGCACCACACATATACATAGTTACATATGTATATATATATATATGCATTACATAGTATATATGTTTGTGTAGTTGTAGGCACATTGTTGTCTAGCGCTCAAACAAAAAAGCAACAAATAGTACGTGTATAAGCGGTAAATATGTCTGTATGTTAATATGTCAACGGCTCTGTCGTCGCTGGCTAGGTAAACGAAGCGCTGCGCAGAAAAACAAAATGAAAAAAAAATAAATAAAAATTTTAAAGAGAGTGAAGTACACGAAGAAGCGCATATTTTTTACAAATTTACATATAGCAATACCTACATATAATATATATGTTACTGCATATACTCGTATATTGTCTTCTATATAGTAGTAAGTGCCTACCGAGTAAGTGACCGATTGCCCAATACACCGATTGTCTGCTAGTCTGTTTGGCTCGTCTTTCCGCCGCTCATTGTAGGTGAGTGACTGCGCCGCGCTGCCGTCTCCACTTGCACGCCACACACTAAGTAGACTTACTAACCAAAAGAATAAATAAAACCGAAAAAGTCACAAAGAAAAACACAACAAACTCAACCAAAAACAACAACAAAAGATAACAACAAGCGTGCATTTAAGCTTCGAAGCTGCACTTTACTTGGCGTCGAAGGCTTTCAATTGTTTGTCGCCGCATTAAATCTTTTAATTCTTATAGTACATAGCAGTTATGATTTTATTGCCTGGTTGCATTTGTTATTTATAGACTTAACCGCTGTATGCTATCTGATTGTTGTTGGTTGATCTTCTGCATTCCGCATTTTGCTAGCCATTATTTATAGCATCGTACTTACGAGCTGCTGACGGTTAAACTGCTCTCCGGCAGTGCATCTTATTGCCTTGTTTGCATGTGTAATAAAATAACTTTTAGTGGAGTTTTCCTCACACAATCATATGTACACACTCCGCGGTGAGTTGAACAGTCAAGGTGCCACGATATTTTTTTAAGGAAAAATTCTCGAGCGTAAACGTTGACATTTGTGTAGATATTAGTCTAGAAATATGGTGTAAAGTGGGATTAGTGAAGCTTCAAACCTTGACATATTAGGGTAATTCTTAAACAAAAATTTAGGAATATATTTTTCATGCTGGGAGTGTAAGCACGTATCAGTAATAGCGTCGTCAAAAATAATACATATAAAATTTAGTTCAGTTCAGAAAAGCCAAAGATAAAATTGACATATGGATACTCAAAAAGTTAAAATTTGAAACAAATTCCTATCAAAACCAGAAAAAATGTTAACTTCGATAGCACCGAAGCTTTAATACCCTTCACAAATACAAAAGTTCCTTACAAGAACTTGATTGCGATCGTTCACTTTGTATAGCAGCAATTTGATATAGTAATATGATCTGACCAACTTCTTCGGAGAATACTTTGTTGTCTTAAACAATAACTCTTGCCCAATTTCGCGAAGATATTATGTCAAATAAAAAAGTTTCCTATACAAGCACTTGATTCCGATTGTTCAGTTTGTATGGCAGCTATATGCTATAGTGGTCCGATATTAGCCATTCCGACAAATTATCAGCTTTTTAGTGAGGAAAGGACAGGTGCAAAATTTCAGATCGATAGCTTAAAAACTAGGGACCAGTTTGTATATATACAGAGAGACAGCCATGTCTAAATCAATCAATCTAAATGCTGATAATTTATGTATATATTTTATAAGGTCTCCGAAGTTTCTTTCTGTTTGTTACAAACTTCGTGTCAAGCATAATATACCCTGAACACGATATAAATATTATAAAATATATTTGACTAGTCAATAATATAAGCAATCATACTGTAGTACATTCTTCGCTGAGCTGAACAGATTCTTTTTAATGGTACAAAATACAATAGTACTATTGAAAGTATTTTCCATCTAAAACTACAACATTTTCCCACGTTTCTTGCAATTTATGGATTCTAATCCAAAAAAAAACTGTGCTGGCTTAACGGCCAAAAATGAATCAAGCCAATTTTTGATGCCGTGTTATGATGTGAACTGTATTCCCGTGAAGGTGTTCTGCATCGACCAGAACAAGTGGTAGTCAGAAAGAGCAAGATCTTGGCTATAAGACGGATGAGGCAAAATTTCTAAACAGTTTTAAGCGGCCTCGCAACATGAGGCCGAGCGTTGCCATGATGGAAAAATGTTGATTCGTATCTAGTCGCAAATACTAGGAGTTTCTCAGCAATCGCTCACCTCAATATGATGAGTTTTTATAGGCAGCGTTCCCCACTAATGGTCATATTACTTTTTGATCACACCAAATATAGAGCATTACTTTGCCGTCAATTTGGCTGGTCGGGTAGATTTCACATATGGTCTTTTGCACTTAGGCTTGTCGTAATGGAACCATTTTTCATCACCAGTCACAACGCGTTAGAAAAACTACTAATTTTTGTAGCGTTCGAGCAGCTTTTTTGATATGCCAAATCATCTTAAACGTCTCTTGGCTTCAATTCAATTGGCACCCAATTGCTTTGGTTTTGACTATATTCGACAGCTTTTAAACATTTACAAATATCTGTTTGAGCAACTCCCAAAGATTTTTTGACATCTCCTTGTGTTTGTCAACAATCTTTGCGCATCGAGTAATGGTTTCAGTTCCTTATCTTCAAATTTTTTTGCTCTTCCAAGAAAATCTCAGCATTTGTATATCGCGCAAACCACTTTTAATACCATACGCCATATACTTCCACCAAAAAACATGATTTCAAGGCACAAAGTTCGACATATTTGAGTGGAAAGAATTATTGTTGTTTGCGCTTCAAATGAATGATATATGTATAATGAAAAAGACGCACAAGGACAGTAGCTTTTCAACGCATCTTCGGAATATATTAACAATGAAATAATATTCAAGTTACGCCACATCTTGGCAAACATATATTTTATATTGTTATATATTTATTTCTCTAAACATTGCGCCACGATGGGTTTTCCGCTTACTTGTATATGCCGTAATTGGAATCTCACAACAGCTGTCTTTTATTCGCCAAGCGTTTATTTGTGCTAGTAGCTCCATAATTAATTATATACAATTTATAATTAATTAGATATGGTAAAGTTTAAAATTAATTGTTATTTATTTTTTGTGAAAGAAAAAAACAAGAATAAAGTTAGTTTCCGATGCACCGGAGCTATAATACCCTTTACAGGCGCATTTTTTATAACATATAAGGTTGTCAAATATCCGCTTTTTTGTCTTTTGAATTTCGCGGCTATGTACAAAGCGCTACAGAGCTCGTATCTGGCAACACTATACATAATTTGAAAGGTCTTGACATAACCTACAAAACAACGCTATGCATGATTAGTTTGGATATTGCGTTCAACAGTTATAGACGTGTAAACATGGAGTTCACTAACGCCGAAATTCGCGCTATTTTAAAGTTTTCCTTCGTTAAAGGCAAATCCGCTAGAAAAACGTTCCGTGAGATTAATGGTGTTTTGGGGGATGGTACTCTATCACTTCGAACTGCGGAGGAATGGTTTCGACGATTCAGAGCCGGTGAAAACGACACCATGGATAAGCCAGCCGGCGGAAGACCTGTGACGACAAATACCGATCAAATCATGGAATACATCGAGTTAGACCGGCTGCCATATGCCGTCGTGACATCGCCCAGGAGATGGGAGTTAGTCACCAAACCATTTTGAACTATCTGCAGAAGGCTGGATACAAAAAAAAGTTGTGCCGCATAATTTGACGCAAAAAAACCTTCTGGACCGAATCAACGCCTGCGATATGCTGCTGAAACGGAACGAACTCGTCCTATTCTTGAAGCGGATGGTGACTGGCGACGAAAAATGGATCACATACGACAATATCAAGCGAAAACGGTCGTGGTCGAAGGCCGGTGAATCGTCCCAAACAGTGGCCAAGCCGGGATTGACGGCCAGGAAGGTTTTGCTGTGTGTTTGGTGGGATTGGAAGGGAATCATCCACTATGAGCTGCTCCCATATGGCCAGACGCTTAATTCTACCATCTACTGCGAACAACTGGACCGCTTGAAGCAGGCGATCGACCAGAAGCGTCCAGAATTGGCCAACAGGAAGGGTGTAGTGTTCCACCAAGACAACGCCAGACCACACACTTCGTTGATGACTCGTCAGAAGATACGGGAGCTCGGATGGGAGGTTTTATCGCATCCACCATATAGCCCGGACGTAGCGCCAAGTGATTACCACCTTCCTGTCCATGGCGAATGCCTTTGGTGGTGTGAAGTTGAACTCAAAAGAGGCTTGTGAAAAGTGGCTGTCCGAATTCTTCGCAAATAAGGAGGGGGGCTTCTACGAGGAAGGTATTATGAAGTTGCCGTCTAGATGGAAACATATCATCGAACAAAACGGCGCATATTTCAACTAAATCCGATCACTGTAACACTTTTTATAAAGCATTGAATGAAGAGCAAAAAAGCGGAAGGGAGATATTTGACAACCTTATATCAGGTGCGCAACTAAATTGCGGCTCTATGTAAATAGATGACTCCAACAGGTAGTGATGATCGATGTTGTTATATCCAAAACGTGTTAAACTTAAACTAGACATTTGAAAAAGAAACTACGTTTTCACATTAGTGACTTTGTTTATGTGTCATATACTTTTCGTTGTGCGAATATGTCCGATTTATTGCCAAATTATCGTCATTTACGGGGAAGTTTTGATTTTCTTCTTTCGATCAAAGAAATTGGCGGCTGAAGCGCATCGGGAACCCCAGAAAGTTTACAGAGGTGCTGCCCGAAGTGAAACAACATGCGCTGATCGGTTTCGTCGCTTCACAAGCTTTCGATATTAACGACCATCCGAGACGTTGTTCGATGAGGATACGTGTCACACACAAGAAGAGCTTGCTTCAGCATTGGTAGTCAGCCGTCAAGCCATTTTAAAGCGATTACATCGCTGGAAAAAAACAACAAAAAAAGTGATTCTGCTGTCTGACAATGCTTGGCCTCACGTTGCCAAATCCGTTAAAACCTACCTGGACACGCCTAA